AAACACGTCTGCGTCCTACCTATCTTCCCTTTGTTAAGTCCGTTAAATCAAAACAGGTGGACATTATGTCTTAGATAATATTATAGAGATGATATAATGACAGGTTACGAAACCTCACCAACCGGCTACGTAGGCAAACTTGGCTCTGCGTGTTTGTAACTCTGTTTGCAATGTACAGAGATATAGAAGTATTTGTCCCAATGGCCAAGTCTTTATAAAATACAGGAAGCACAAACTGAGTGATTTAAGAGCACCGTTAATGTGTATTAAGGTGTATTATATCTTGATTATTATGTACCCTAAGTACGCTATTCTGTGAACGTTACAAATACGCCTTTCAAATATGACGGGTAGGATTATGCCCACCACAGTTCAGTTATGGGCTTATAGGGCAGTATTATTCTATGTAAGGCGAAGTTATCAATAATAGAAATCTCTTGTTAAAAACACGGTGATGAAAATGAGTGTTTCCCTTAATAGTATTCAACAACGAAGATACCTTCTGTAGCTGTCATCGAAGTCATAGAGCTGGCTCGAATAACCCGCCAAGCATGTCACTGGCGCTCATGAAAATCTATCATTTCCTCAAATAATATCAGCTCTCCTTTTATTAAGTGTCATAGGTAATATATACCCCTCCCCCTCCCCAAAAAAATCTATTTAAATCTCTATTGTGCTATGGTTAAGCTGGTCAACTACCATATTATATTCTTGGTTCGCCTGGTATTTTATAGGGTGACTGGGTATCACTATATGCCAAAAACATGTTGAATATATTAATGGGCTATTGTATGTAGAACGTTCCATGTCTAGGTACCCAAGTAGGTAGCTACCTACTCTATAATCAAACCATCACCTCACCCCAACTAGGTGGTCGATCTTCTAATTTGGTGCCCCATTCAGACTCCTGGCTTCCAAGCACCAGTTCCATTGTCCACCCCTCATTAAAAAGGGAGTGAGTGATCCAAGATTTAGTCCACGGTTGACCGTTTACTGTTACGTTCTGTACGTAGATATTTTTATATTCGGCATCGAATCCGACGGTTTTAATCTGTGCCGTCTTCCCCGTTAGAGGACTCGTTATGTTAACCTCCCGAAAAAATGGCGCCGAAATGAGGTACACATCTTGCCCAGATATCGGGAAGAGGCCTATCATCCCAAATACGACGAACGCTCCCATCGAACCTGAATCATCATTTCCTGGTAGCCCCCCGTGGGATGTGTTAAATGCCGACGGGATATAGGTGTGTAGCCGTTTCGTGGATAACCCAGGACGACCGGCATAATGATACAAATATACCGTCGAAAAAACGGGCTCATTAGAGATATCAGCTAGCCCTGACGTGTGAAAGAAGTCAAGGCGCTGAATAAATGGCTCCTCGCTCCCCATTAGCTCGATCAAGGCGGACATCGACTGCGGGACAAGGCTATCGAGTTCGTCAGTCGTATAAGACGCTTCGCTTGGAACGAATCTATTACTTACAACTGGTATTGCCAAATACTATTGGGATAAGAATCAGTAACCACCATATTTAATAGTTTAATCAAGAACATATGGAAAGAAATGGGCCACTGTATAAACTCCCACGCACTCTCTCACTTTAGCCAAGAAGATAGTAAGCTCGGGATACTAACCTGGCTTCAAAGGTCTCACTAGGATTGGTGGTGAGCGAGCAAAAGCTTGCAAGCACCGAACATGCAATCGGATCTTGAAATCCCCAAGTACCATTCTGGTACTTTGGTTCCACGAAGCCCGTAAACCCGGTATCATTTCCATCGATAACCGAGCGCTGGTCTGACTTCCATAGGTACTGCCAGTTAGCACTTCGTAGAACATATTTATCGTATAAATCGTCTCTCCCGAGCCCTTGCGCTAATGTGGCGAGACAATAGTCATTATACGCGTATTCGAGCGTCCTCGAAATACTGCGCGAGTTAGTACCGAATCCCACCGGATCAAAATCTAGGTAAGGGATATATTGGAGATCCTTCCAGCTCCGTAGGCCGCCCCGACCGTGATATGCCCATTCCAACGGTTCGACTTCGGCGTCCTGTATGATAGCCTCAAGCGCGACGTCCCAGCTGATGCCTGTAAGATTTTTGACGTAAGCATCGACAAGTACAACATCCGCATTTGAGCCACCCTGTATGAGATAGTAAGTATCGCATACGAATGGAAGTTTAACGAGAAGAGACGTGAAATAAGAGGGTTTTCGATAGACACTGATCCCATTAAATAAATTCAGACTTCCTTACCTGGGTCCAGCCGTTGCTAAGTGACCTGGGTACGTAGGATATTGGGTTAGTTCTGCCCTGCGTACAGCGATCTAGGTAATGACATCTTACATGTGACAATCGGGTAGCCAACCCTCGTGCTTATAAATATCTAAAAGCGAGTTGACCATCTGAATTTGCGCGTGTGGATCGAGGATGGTGAGGAGCGGATGCTGAACGCGGAACGAATCCCAAATACAATAAAACGAGTCGAAGTATGGTATCCCACTATTCCAGTAGGGGTTTTCGTCGGTATAGTTCTGTGGGGAGATCATAGTGCGATACAGACCGCTCCAGAAACTAGTTTGGAATTCCTCACTGGCACCGCCAGCATCAACAGATATCGGACTCAACTTCTCTCGCCATGCATCTTCTGTATGGGCCACGAGTCCGTCAAAGTCGTTAAGCGGGCTGGGAATTTCCTCTGCTGCCCGCTGGCAAGCCTGATCAGCACTTATGAAACTTATTCCCATTCTGGCGGTTAAGGTGTTGTTAGCCAGGTTGCTGAATCCAACCCACCCGCCGGCTTCTAAATAAAAGAGGTTGAAACCACGAGTGACGAAAAGCTCTTTCGGGTCCGTCCCTGCTCGGTTGTTGACCCATACCCCATTTTCAATGACATCGCCGCCAAAGAAGTCCACGCAGAAGTGCATCACGTACGACCCAGGTCCAAAACTGGGGAGAAATGTGCCATTTCCCTTCAGCCGCCCGCTTTCGGCGTCTACGCTAACTGAAGCATTTTGGCGGCTTTTCCACAGGTCCGTCAAATCGAGTAGTATTAAGGGATACTGATCATCCCCGGCCGGAAATTCAAACCTATATAATGCGGCGTGATCGCTAGAGGTCATTGTGGCCTTTATCCCCGAGACCAATTCCACCCCGAAGTAGCCCGGCCGAGCAACCACCGAATCCTCAACGTAGTGAGTAGCCCTCTCGCTTATGAGGAAGTTACAATTATTCACGTCACCCCCAGGACATATCTGAGGGAATAAAGGGAAATTTCCTAGGCTAGGGTTCCCACCGGTGCCGCTGTCGTGAGTTGCGGAGAAGCCCGTGATACTTGAGCCATCGGTTGCGAAACCCCCGGTATTCTGCCCATCCACATCCGCGACAGGTTTTGCCAAAGCGTATGGCCCTGCAACATTGTGTTTAGTAGATGACTACTGAGAAATAGAAGGACATACTTGTGGCACCCGCAAATACATTTCCGCCATTAGTGCTACCGATAAGAGGATCTACGAATTGCAGCACGTCGACACAGAGTGCCGTGAGAGGAAAGATCGTGGAAAAAAAGTAAATAAGTTGCGGGGTCACTAAAGACAGTCGCCTGTATGCCATCCTAAGTCAATGAGGACCGCTGTGGTAGGATCATGAATGAATATATCCTTACTGCAAAAATTGATGCAAAAGAGTAAATCAAAGCCTACCAGTCTAGAATGATATTGCGTTAAATCTACTCCCTCGATGGTGGCGTTTTGCGACCTTCCTGAAATGGGTGACCTTACGAAGGTTACCTACGTAGTAAACGGCCATGCGGTGATCTTCATAATTGTGGAGAGCATTGATACTCCAGCATTTGAATAGAGTATCTACCTTAGGAGGTAGGTTATCTATACCAGATACGTAAGGGTTCATTCCTAAGGAATCCAGCGCCCCAAGACGACCGCCAGTCTAAACAAATTAGAAGAGCGCGAAGGGATGAGCCGATACAGCATCGAATATCACCAGGATTAGCTTATCTACAAGGGATTGTATTGTTAGTACCACCCTCGTGAGGGGTCGTAAGCAAGGGACTTATCCACGCAATCCGGTAAATAATCGATTTACTTAGCTACTTAAGGTACCGCTCTTTAATAACAACGTAAACATGGTCTTTTCGCGGCGATGCTGGTAGGTGATGCTGGTAGGCGATTGAGGTTTCAACTATTCAAACCGAATAACCACAACTAAGAGGGACAGATGTTTACGGGTATTTTGGCTAATAATTTACAGTAGTCTACTAAGTTGAGAAGAGCTGCACCCAATGCCGAGAGGTATTAATATATCACGAGCAGTAAAAAGACGGCGAAGCTAGATATATAACAACTTATCTGCTTAGGTGTAGCACGAACTAGAATACTGGGTACTGACACCAAGTTCACTATCGCGGTCATTGACCTCGGCCTCGGCTCCACGCTGGGCAACGTCACCGTAACCTACCTGGACATGATTTGGAGTCCGGGACCGAGTATTGCTCATCGTATTCACATCTGATATCAAACTTTAAAGCTTGCCCTCTAGTAGATTTAAAGAGACGAAGAGAGATGTAGTTTTCTCTTATAGCAGCTCGAGGAGGTCTCTCGTTAGCATCTCGGCTTCTTATAATCGGATGATGATAGCGGTCCAAATTAACCTTATCCTTTCGACTCCCGTTCCTCACCCAAAAAAACATCCAAGAATTTGGCATACGTCTCCTTCTGCTGCGAGCGAGCTGCGACGTCTCTATAATTCGTTCCACGCGTATTTCGTCTGTTGATGACGAATAGGCCGTGATGAGCAAATCCATCTGCTAGATCAAAACGGCAAGGGGGCAATTGAAGGTTTCCCAGTAAATAAATGACGTGTACGCTGCCTCTTTATCGTGGCCTCCGATGTTGACAATATGGAATGGGATTACGATTTCGTAATGTAACTATCATGGAATACATGATTATGACGCTAAGAATCTGAACACGGACAGATAACTTTACCGAGAGGTACTTCGACTCGTCATGATAACCCGATCGTGCAGCTATACTATAGAATCTTACCGCATATAAACCGCATATAAACCCCTTGACGCATTTGGTTTTTAACGAGTGGTTAGTCGTACAGGCATTTGTATTCGGGCTTCTTTTCCTGGTTGCTAGAGTCAGTGTAACAATAATCATGGTACACTTCATCGGTTTAGCAAGTGCCGGCGTCCTGGCACTCGTCGTGCCATGCTCTCTTGCAGTCCCCTTCGTCTCTGAAGCTCAAACTACCGTGCAATCCGACGCGACCACGACAGTCCCTGTTGTTCCCGTGACGAACGTGACCTCTCACGGCCCATACACCGGCCCACCGGCTACGACGACCGGCGCACTATCTACAAAGATCACAGCTTTAAGCATCCCAATCAGGCCGCCAGAGCCGTACAAGCTGCAATATCCGGCAGACGGGCAGCTTCACCAACCACAACCCGCACCATACACGCCTAACGGTGGTCTGGGAACCAATGGGTCCGAGCCAGTGTATCGTGTAATAAGCGATTTTGACTACGAGTCCATTGCGCTAGCCCTTTATCAAGAGTGGATCGAGCTCGATCTCTTCCACTGGGGTTTAGCCAGGTTCTCCGCCGAAGAGTTCGAGGCCGCCGGATTGAATGCCGAAGATCGGTATCTCATCCAGTTCATGGCTGAACAAGAAGTTGGTCATGCTACAGCTTTGACTAACTTGCTGGGAGACAACGCTCCGGTGCAGTGTACTTACAACTACCCAGTAACAAGCGTGCGAGAATTCATCGACTTCAACCAGAAATTAACCCGATGGGGGGAGTCGGGCGTATATGGTTTCTTGAATCATCTTGATTCGCGTGAAACGGCTCAGATACTTTTGCAGTCTATCACCACAGAAGCACGACAGCAGCTCATTTTCCGCCAGTTCGATGGCCTCTTTCCTATGCCAATATGGTTTGAGATAGGCATCCCACAATCCTGGGCGTGGTCCCTCCTGGCTCCGTATATCTCGTCGTGTCCAGCTAATCAGACTCGCCTCATTTGGCAGAACTTCCCTTCGCTACACGTCATCAACCAGCCAAACCCAGCTCGTATCAACGGTTCTAACGCCTGGAACGAGACCACCGGCGGGTACGCGAACACACTCAGCACTCGAAATATCTCAGCAGCAGATAGCTGCTTGCGCGGTGATATCGGTCAAAACTGCAGTCCGGCCATCACGCATAATAGGACCACTCCATTATCATATCCCGGCCGTCAAATTTTCCTGAGGTGGGATAGCCCCGGAGATCTCATCGGGCCTAACAACAGCTACGTTACTAGCACGTCGGCAGGATATCCCAAGTTCGCCGCCTGGGTCTCTCAGCTCAACGTCACCTATACCCCCTTACAGAATATCAGTGGCAACACTGCATATACCATTCAACCCAACACCTCGACATATGAAGGCGACCCTGCTGTGAACGGTACTATCTTCTTGGCTATCACAGACGACGATCTATACGTCACACCATTCAACCTCACCCAGATCAACCCACATGTCAACGCATTAGCCATCTACCAAGCGGGATAAGCTGCAGCTCTCAGTCGATTTCCAAATGCAGACTGAGTATGGAGAATAGTCTGTTTGAAGCTAATAGGCCAAGGGTAAGAAGAGAAACGATGGAAAACTAAGCAGGATCAAAACATAGACCGTAAAGGTATCTTGTTACGCGCACAAGATAGACTTCATAGCCATAATAAATCAGAACCCAAGCTAGCCAAAATTTCCAGCCGTCATTATTCTCTCATCGCTATCGACACTATACCGTCTCTAGAGTGAGTGACAATATTGGAAACATGTTCGGATCTATCCGTCACTTACTCCAGGAACTCTTAGCTCCTTGTAAAACACCAGGCCGAGATACTGTAGCGACATTGTCGCTAATTCTTATCCTGTCGTCTAGCGATAGTACTTAAAATATGAATTCCGGCCGACCCCGTAGAAAGCACCATTGCCCCGCTTCGCCGTTTCCAAATCAAATGTTGGGTATCTACTTTTCCAAACAAGTTGTTGAATCAACGAACTAAAGAAAAGGGGGAGGAGAAAGCTGCGCAAATAACGGCAGATAGGCTCGCGATAGCAACGCGCACGGAAATCCAAAAGTTCCGAGTTAGTATCGATCCGGTAAGTCCGATAGAATATCGGTGGGCGGCTGCTATCACGATGGAACGTTTATTTCATATCCAATAAGTACTTCGGTAGTTGTCCCTTCCCAGCCTCGGTTCCCCGCAGCTGATATCATGAAGCGACTTGACGGGTCAATATATAAGCTGGATATGACACCGGCACGTGGCGGACCAGGAATAATCAGGAAAGGTGGTGGCGAGTGTTTAGATGAATGCTCGGAGCGAAGGTCGTAAAGTCGAAGAATGTCGTGAGAGGCGCAAACTAGATGCCGTCCGTTGGGCATTGATCGAACGCAGCTAACTGGTCCACTACCACCAGGAAACTTGAAAACCCGTTCTGGTTGCCAGCCTACGCGACCACCCTTTGCCTTCTGTATGCTGAATTCCTCCACCGTGCCGTTTCTCCTGCCCGCGTATATCCAATTGCCATCCGGGCTCCAGCACGCCCCCATACACCAGGGAGGGACACCATGCCTGTTCCCAATACGCGCCACGGGATTTTGCATTCGACGATCCCAAATACATAAGGTCCCATGGATAGACGCGGAAAGAAAAGTGCTATCCGAAGTCTGCGTCATATCGTAATGCGCAGGGGGCGGAGCGGCGAAAACAGCGGACGGTGACTGAGGCAATTCCCCTTGGCCACCCTGAGTAGTTGGCAAGGGCATATCTGCTAGCTGCGATCGGAAAGTGTTATCACTTGGGTTTATTGACTGCGAAAAGTCCGACATGGAGGGCAGAGACGACGGGTCGAGATTTCCATCGGTCCTAAAAGAACTGAGCGCATTGTCGCCAAACAGAGTAGGGTCTGAGGAGTTCGAATTAGGAAGAGGCTGAGTGGTTGGCACTTGACTCGACCCTGGTTCAAAGGTTGGACCAGACAAATTATAATTGCCTATCGCAACGTCGGCATCCTGAGCCGAATCTTGCATCATCGCTCGGGAAAATTCGTTGTCCTCTTCCCCCTCATAAGCGCCCATCCCGTCGTTGTCACCGAAGAGGTCGGAGCCGCCCGTTGGGCTGCCACCGAATAGGCTGTCATGCGCAGGACTCCCTCGACCATCAGGCATGGCATCTCCCCCGTTAGCCATCTGGTCAGAAGCGCCATTCACTCCTATGCCGTTCACGCCAGTGTCGATATCCATGCCAAATGTGCCATCCATCTCAAACTTTAAGTCGCTGTCGGCGCCAGGATGCGTATTATTGCTAAAGAACGTATCGCTCGGGATCTCCTCTTCGCTGGCTTCCGGGGGAATCGGTTGTCCCCCCATAGGCCGAATCTCGACGGCAGAAATCTGTCCCCCACTTCCATCAAACTGACGTGCCACTTGTCCCGTATTCAGATCCCAGTCAAATATATTCTTATCCCAGCTGCCACTTAGTACGCTCTTCTCGTCCGGAGAAAGAGTTAGAACGCTGACGGCATTGGTATGCTTCTTGAGACATGCAATCCGTTTCCCTTCGTCGTGACGCACGCTTTGGAGATTAATGCCGCCGCTCTCGAGGCCGGACAGGAGCCACAAAGCTTGGGAGTGGACAGCTAAACTATAGACGGGGCTAAGGACCAAATCTTCTTGCCGTACAGGGGCAGGTTGGGGCTCGGCATTTTCCCAATACGACATCAAGACACCAGCCTTAGTTACCGAGTCGACGAACGGATGACGCTGCGCTACAGTCAGGAGGGTCTTGCCGTTGATTGTAGCGGGCCCGTCGTACTTCCTGATGTATCCATCGCTTCCGCCTGTCATCCAGTAACGAAGATCGGGAGTTATAGCTATCGCGTTGATACTAGTAGCCATGGGAGCTGCCATGGTCGGAACGATATCGTACGTAGCTGCGGTGAGCACTTCCGGGCGAACCTTGGGCTTCCACTTGGGAGTAGCGAGAGGACCGGGGGTAGCCGAAGTTCGAGTAACGGCTGGGTTAGCCAAGCCGTTTGGTTGTTGGTGGTCATGAGCGTCTTCTTCGTCTTCGTTCTCGTGCTGGTCGGGATCATCATCTTCCTCTTCGTCGTTTTCGTTCTCATTATCGTTATCGTTGTCATTGTCGTCTTCGTCGTGGTCTGGATTGTCATTCTCATCCTCGCCATCTACGTCCACGTCGGCGTCACCATCGCCGTCCGCATCGTGGATCATAATATCGTCATCGTGCTCGTTATCCGAGCTCGCATTAGAGTCTCGGTCAAAGTCGTCCATTGCTGAACAAGGCTATCCAACTACGATTGACTACGATAAGGCGCGATGATGTCCCAATCTAAGAATGGCATTATACAGCCTCGTTCGGGATTCTTTAATGTATGTTGTAGCTGTTGTAGCTGTTGTAGCAATATTAAGGAAATATTTCTATGTAAATGTATGAAAAGTGAAGAGTGAAAAGATGATAATATAACTAACCTAAAATTATAAGACAGAAGACGGCCGAGCGCGTCAGAGCGGGACTGGCTACCTAGGTAGTCGGATAAATGAAAGATAAATGAAGATATGTACAAACAAGGGTTAGGTCCGTGAATTTATGCATCTAAAGGGCATTTAACCTCACTGCCAAGACTTGATAAGACTTGATAAGACTTGATAAAACTGAAAGCGCAAGACATCGATGCATCCAGATGGACCTAGATGTAAGACAAGATTAAGTGCGTCATACTTCGTACGCGTCAATACAATTAAAGTTCTCATGCACCTTCAATAGTGTATGTATACTTCCACTTAAGCTTTCTCTATACATGTATACACCCCGTACTTAACATATCACGTATCTACCAATAAGTGATAAAGTACCTAATCGTACAAAAATCCCCAAGCACAACCTGAGTGTGCCAAAGGTAAAAAGAGCCGCAAAATTTACAAATTACACCTAGGGCTAAAACGCCTCAAATCCCACCCAAGACTCTTACAACTTTCAACGTCCCACGTCCCACGAACCCTACCCCATTGCCTCCGTATCCCCTATCTCCACCATCCTTCGATCCAAAATCATCAAGTTTTTCCGCAGACGTAATGAGCTACAAGCTTCGGAAATATCAAAGGAACGATTATTTCTTACCCTTGCCCTTGCCCTTGCCCTTATTACCCCCCCTTCTCCTGGGTTGGTTTCTTGTATTTCCCCCGGTTGTCTTACTGCTCTCCTGGCCTTGGGGAGGGACCTTTACCGGCAAAACATTAGACGAAGAAGTACTAGCTTCTGGGATGTCAGGCGGGAAGACCGGGTTGGTTTTCTTTTTATTGAAGGGCTCATAATTATCCATCCCGAATTCCGGTGCTATTGATGGTTTACCAGACACCTGTTTCCCCTCAGTCTTTCTTCTTGTATTGGGAGGCAGTTCCTCGCCGTCATCTTCTCTCGCCCTCTTTCTAGTTTCTGGTTTGCCTACTACGACCGAGCTCCCGCCTTCCGGCGGCACCATCAAAGTTGCCGCGTCTACGTCTTGAGCTCCGTCCCGAGAAGTGCTAACCACTTCCACCGCGATACGTGCTCTATAGCCCATTTCTCGAACAGCATCGTATGCAGTAAGGCCAATCATCTCCCATCTCACCAAGTCGGGGTTGAACCACCCGGCCATGTCTTCCCAGAGGGTTTCGTTATAATGATAGGTGTCACCTCGCGTCATAGCCACTATCCGGTCCATAATATGCCTTGCTGCCCAAAACGTTCGGAGACCGCAGCTCCACATGTCTAACTGCCGGTCTGTCGACACGTCGCGCCGGTGATGCCGATCAAATGTGAATTTATTTTTTTTAAGGAACTTTTTTAGTCGACCTTCAGCAAATTGTTTTCTAGGCCCCCTCTTCGTATCTTCCCACGAATCGATAATGCCCACCTGAACAATTCTTGTCCATCCCTCATTTTCATTATTCGGATTCTCTTTACGGATAACACCTAACTCCCAATGATTACCATGTATGTTCATCGGCCACAGGGTATATTCGGTCCGTCTAAGACTCCGACAGAATCTGTTGTAATTTCTTGCCAATATGTCCTCAAACGCTTTGGTGCTAGTCCCAAATATTCCCTCGATACTCGTGTCTGCAATGTGGATCAAGTCCCTGGCCAGCTTCGGCAAGCTGTTGTGGTACACCTTTAGCGCTTTATCAAGAGCATCACCATTGAGCCATTCCTCGCGGCTGGCCTGAAGCTGATTAAGACCTCTTATATCTGGCCATCCATTGGGCGGAGTGGGCAAGTTACTACCAGGTAGTTCTATATGCCTTTGCCGGCATTGTCCTTGGTCCGATCCTTGAGTCCCGCATAATATTTGCGCTGGCGTGGTGTCCGGCATGTTTGTTCTTGCCTTATATGATAAAGGATCTCAAACGATGATAGCCTTGGGTAGGATTTCGTATTGGACTCGTAATATTGAGCTCCCTATACTATCAAGAACCGTGCTTATGTATAAGTTGCGTATCGCTGTGAAATATAAGCGACGTCTAGTATAGTCTATTACGCCACCGAGGAGTAATACTGCGTAGTTGACCAAACCTATTGGGTGTTTGATGCGTCAACTGGTTGCTGTTGGAGTTATCAAGATATTCGCGCCTGCTAACAAAGGTGGCCGTGGGCGTTCTTAATACCTAGCGCGAACTCATCATATATCTTTGTGCTCCGCCGAATCCGACGACCTACGAATACAATGGGCTACAAGCTGAATCGGAGGTCAAACTTCGGTTTCGGCCGGCATCTAGTGCCCCTTTGTCCTTGAAATCGAGTACGGAAAAGACAGTAAGTTATGGTTGAGCGATGGAGATCCAGCATAGCGCCTAGGTAAGATCAGAAGAGGCTTCTTGACAATTCAAGCCTCATAAATCGTTTGTAGACTAAGTTGCTAAACCTCCTAAGCCTCTAAAACTTTTACAATATTAACAATTAATATGACGGGGAAATTCAACCATGAATCTAACTACTAAGTCAATACTTTTATGCTATTTAGTAACTATAGATAAAGTCGGTACTGTTCTTTAGTCCTAGGAAGCTTCTATCTACTTAAATCTTTAACTAAACTGCCGCATACTAATATAACTTATTCTCCTAGCTAATCATCTATTTACTATTACTATACTCGCTCGACACCCTCACTGAGATCAGTGACTTTAACACAGCGATTACACTGTAGCCCCATTCTTCGTAAGCCTTCAGGTTGCCTAATATCATGACAAGTCTTCTGTTACGAACTGTAATAATACCGTAAGTGTGTTTCTTCGTTGATGAGTACCTAAGGCATTGAATGAGTTAAACGTCATAATTTAAATATAAAGCAACATGAAATTGTAGTCAAGGCCCGTTTATAGGTTAACTTAAGTAAGTAATTTTGCTAGACTTGAATGTAAAACCCCAAACATCACGACAAAACGCAATATTATATAAGTCCTCTGGTGCCAGAAAAACACAGTACATTACTTACTTAAATCTGATTGTTTATGTCCTTTATACTATTCCGGAGATAGTATGTTTTAACTCTTTTGGAAGCCTTGATTTGCTAATGTAAGTAGAACTAGATGCTCAGCCACTCCGCCACAGTGGCACAGAGACTGGTTAGGTAAATCGGGTTCTGGCCAAGTTCTAGGCAAAGTCTGGGCATACGATTTACAAGCATACCTACATATGTAGAATCCACGATCCTCCATCAATAATTCGTTACTATCGGCTGTATCGGATAGGGTTGTTAACGCATAGTCGTGATTACCTAGGCCAATTCTGGACAACAACTTACCACTATCGACCTCCAATATGAATGTCCATTGTCCGGCCAGGTTAACTCCTTCCAACTACCAACTACTGGCTACCCAACTACTAATTGCCAATTGTGGATGTCTAGGTTAAGTGTTAACCCTCAATTAGAGCATGTAACAATACATTATAGTTCCCTCTCTCTTCCTCCGGCCGGATCCCCATTTCTTATATATCACGTATCCAATACGCGTCAAGGGGGAGAGGTTGTTAGTTCTCCGGGAGCGAGTTAGCAGCTTTCAGATGCTCGGTGCAACTCCAAACCGCGGCGTCGTGTCGTTCTTCTTGAGCTTTCTGCTCTGCTATATCGTAATCGCTCTCTACTTGCGGTCAAAGTGCTTTCGCGATCCATCTTCCGTCTTTTTTAGGCCCGAATCCGCCCGCGTCCTGACCTATTCTTCCTTTCGCAAGGCCCAGGCCCGGAAGTATGCAGATCTAGCTACGCTTCATACCCCGACAAAATGGGTCGCAAACTCCACCGTTCCCGAACTTTGTATCGGCATCGCCTCGGTGAGCCGACAAGGGTTCTCTTATTTGAAAGAAACCCTCGGGTCGGTCCTCGACGGCTTAGATGATCTCGAACGTCAACGGATCTACGTTGTCGTCTTCCTAGCCCACACCGATCAATCCCAACACGAAGATTTCAACCAACCCTGGCTCATCAACATGGCCGACAATCTCCCAACCTACCCGGACGACGTCGAAACCTCCGACCTTGTGCGCCAGCTCGAGATGAACGGGGACTACGAAGCCCATGCCCGAAAGCAGAAGATCGATTATACAGTACTATTAGATGAATGCGCTAGGGTCGGTGCTAAATATATCATGACCTTAGAGGACGACGTGATTGCTTTAGATGGGTGGTATCACCGAGCTCTCGGCGCGTTGCATACTGCCGCCAGGAAGACCCAGGAGCTCGGACGAGATGGGTGTATGTTTTGACCCATCCATTAACAAAGATACGCCCCGTAAATTATTATCTTCATATCACCATTACTAACCTGGTTTTTATCTATGTAGTTCTCTACCTGCGCGTCTTCTACGACGGTAGGCTCCTCGGCTGGAATAGCGAGGAATGGCCATTGTATGTCGAGGCAAGCATAGCAATACTAATTGCGGAAGTTTTAATTTTGACGACTCTTCGCTGGCGTGTTGCCGTGCTGCGTAGAATTCTAACCTCTTCGGTCCTCTTTTTACTCTGTGGAGTTTGTACTCCCATGCTGATCGGTCTATTCTTCGCGGCCGGCCGTAATTGCATGCTACCAAAAAAACCTGGCGTTCACCTTATGCATAAGTACGGCTGCTGCGCCCAAGGACTCATATTTCCTCAGCGACAGGTGCTCGACAACTTGCTCCCCCTATACCGTGAGACCCACGATAGCCACGCCGCTGTTGATACATTTCTCGAAGATTGGGCCAATAATCACGATAGTTTACGTTGGGCTGTCACCCCGGTCTTGATTCAGCACGTCGGCGGTAAAAGTTCACACGGCGCAGGCGACCAGGAATCGGGCTCGCTTACTGACGACATGCCATTCGATTATTCGTTTGAGATGAATGATCCCATCAAGCTCGCAAAGGAGCACCAAGCATGGGTTGCAGAGTTGTCAAGGCAGAACCGGTAGTAGCGAGTAAATAAACTTTATAAACATAATTCGCGTTAAGTATTACTGCCGTGTATGAGTTTGTATAGCAGAAAAATTTTGTTACTGATTTAGATCTTGATAGAAAATGCTGCGGCCCAGAACCGCGTTGATTGAGTAAGATATTGCGCTGACTAGCACCGATAATTCATGATGAAACCACGATTGAATAAATTAATGCCCGGAAAAGAAAATGGTCGCCTATTGAGAGCGATATAAAATTTATCGAACGACCTATAAGCGTGTCCTCATGATGCAGAATATAAGATACCATTCGATGCCTCTGGCCAACAATGGGTATTACGACCTTATAAGAGCATCTCATGTAAGCTAATATAGAGAAACTATGAACGGGAACAAGCCGAGGCGTATTTACTAACAAATTTATCCAACAATGTAACCACCTTACATAAAGAAGGGGGCGAAGGTGTAATATCGTTACGTAGTTTTTATACACTCGCTACAAATTCTTTTTCTATGTTTTGAAAAATATAATGCTTAGCTCTTAAGACCTTACTAATAGCGAGTAGCCTCCTTTAATTTCTTAATAGAGTTGTCTCTTCAGGGAGATTCTGGCACTCGGGCTTTATATAAATCCGACTGGAATTGCTATTACCCACTTGAAGATCCTATACTGAGGTCTTATGAATAGGCGATAACATCGAATATGATTCCGGTCTGGTTTCCGCCAATGGGTCCGGAATCAAGGATGCACTAATATATCGTAATCATGAAGATGCATTCTGGTGTGAGGCTCATGTCTCATTACATCTTCTCCGGTGAATTGTGGTACTCGAGAAGGTGGTATATCCTGTGTCCTCAGGAAACTTAACCTTGTCGCATCTTTTATTCAGCTCATTCAGCTCAACCCAGTCCAAAGGGTCAGAGCCGTAGCATCTATCGATTGTCAGCCGGGATACAATCGACAAGGTTAACCGATAGAAAATGTGCCACTCAAACCCATGGAATAGAATTACTTGTACTTACTCTTCCCATACTTCTTGTGGCGTCCCAATGAACATGGCAGGGAGACACTTGCCGATAATTTGGGCATAAACGTCCCTGTACAAGTGAATGCCAAACACTAGTGTTGTTGGGCTGACTAGTTCGAACCCCGTAGGGGAGTCAACCACTTCGTGGCCTAAAGCGCGAATAAACGCCTTATCGGACGTGTTGAAAATAGGCTCCTGGAAGATACATCGAATCGTATGCGAACTATTACGCTGAAGTTGCTCAACGATGAAAAGAAAAGCGGCTAGTTGTATATGCGCCTTTCGCTTCATCTCCCAGGAGCTATCTTCGGGGTCGAACGATCCTGTGCCAAAGCAGATAGCGTCGGAAATGTTAGAAGGGGACATGCGCGATTCGAATATTTCTTGCAGCCCATGATAGCATGCCGAAGTTTCCCATTGGTACTTGATACGCTTGTGCTCCTCCATGATGGCGGGAACCGATAAGGACGACGGCCGCACCGAGTTAGAGACACCTCCAGCAATGTACGAAGGGGCGACAGAGTGACATGCTTTAGGTCGGCGCCGTCCCTTGTGACGAACCCGGGTCCATTTTTCGTCAGGCTCGGCTGCTTTCTCGAGACTATCTATCACTGTTGAGGCCATGGAGCAATCAATATGAGGGACACCTGCATGAATAGAATTGCCATGTAGAAATTTGCGGTAGGAATTTTAGTAATAAACGAACTCATGGAAAGGTCGCCACAAGTTATTATGGAAGTATGTCAATAGTCCGTAATTCTAATTCTGATGGATTAAGAATGCGACTAGGAATGAATAGCTCTTGATATATTTTCTAATATGTTAGAGATGGCACTTAGGATAGTGGTTTATCATAAAGCTCCACATAAGGGAAAACGAATAATGGGAACAGATTGTCACTATTAAAGCCACAGTCCCTTGTATCTAGCCTTACTAGCCACACCTGAGACTTACAGCATGAAAGACTCTTCGTTTATCGTAGCCGCCTTCATGCGTGGGATGAGACGCGGAAGAAAAATCGATGGCGCAAACTCACTTACGAGTCCAAGAACATGCGTTTGAACTTGTGCGGTAACGTCATATCATGGGGCCGCCACGTTCTTACCATCATAGAAAACATCCGAATGCCACTTGGGCACTTGATTTGGAATCCGGAAATTTGTATCGGTCGTTGAAAATGACCCAGAATAACTTCCGGGGGAGCGCCAAGATTATGTCTCTTTGCTTTAATGTTAACAATTCTTCCGTCTAGGTACCAGCCAAGATTCTTGCCGTTATCATCATGATCGTGATATCGTCTCGCAAGATATCGCAAGGCTAAGCAGCGTTGAATTGGGAAAAGACGTGAATTTGTATATATCTACATACCTATTTATTTGGTGGGGGTGGTACAAAAATTCTTTACATAGTAGCTGAAATGGCAAGGTGGTTTTTTACTTGCTAGAAACGATTGGTGGTGGGTGGAAATGATACCGGTCGCTCATATTCGGCCAAAAATAGCCTTGCAAGGGGAAGACGGTAGGATGGGTTGGGGTCCACGTTAAGATCGAAAGAGATTGGGGCTTCCCGAGGGGGGCTTTTTCGTCGGCGCTTAATACTAGCTATCATCATTGGTTGTTTGCCCTGGGGAGCTTTGCCTGACCCCTGTCTTAAGTAGTGCCGGCGCTGTTTATTGTCACCAACCATGGCCTTTTCGGGGGTTACGTTCAACTATCAGCTGTGATCCCGGAGCTCCCCTGCCGTCGATCGATATCATTGGCTACTTTGGACAAATCACCTTCGTCCAGACCTTGAACAAGCGACTCGCCCAAGTATCATCAGCGATATCTTATTGGCTACGCCCGATCGGTTGACAAGGGACAGGCTTCGGCTGCACGTCGTGCACATTATTCTGCCCTCCTCACTGGACAGTGTGTCCCAAAATGGCGCCCGCTTCTTTTGACCCTTGATCTCTTGGGCGATGCAGGTGCTTCGAGCAGATACGGACGGCGTTGTAATTATTGCGCCCACCCGTGAGTAATAATGAGCACCTTCTGCCCTACCACCTTTTCCTGATCTTTTTCTCATCGCTTCCATCATCGGCGCCGACGTCCTGGCACTTTAAACGGGCATACGCACACTGCAAAGTAATATCTGAGGTTATTGCTAGTATCACGACCAGAACAACTATTTGACTGGAGCCGGACAGAGAGGTGTCCTTTTGATCGCGTATACTAGGAGACGGGGGTAACTAACATTCACGTTCGACCGTCTTCGCAATCGGCTCTGCAGGCCAGTTTGGGAACCGCATTCTAAATTACCGGCTGATCGCTGTGCGACGTGATTACCCATACGCCGGTTCATCAGACCGTTTCTGTTGACGGGTCCGAAAGACGAGGGAAAAAGAAAACACCGCTTTACGCACAATGCTGTCCTCAATACTACTAGCTGTAGTCGCCTCGACTATAGTAACAGCTCACACAGTCATTACCTATCCCGGCTGGCGGGGAGACAATCTCATCGAGAATGCCACATTTCCTTACGGCATGCAATGGACTTATCCATGTAAGTAAACCTGTCCGTCTTGCCTAAGTGTTCTTGATATATGTTGTTATCAATCTTGGTATGGATCAAATCGACCTGATGCATGTGATATAGGTGGCGGTATCCCCTTAACAACGAATAGGTCGTACTGGCCGACCACGGGTGGCGCCGTTGCGTTTCAACCAGGCTGGTTTCAAGGTCATCAGACGGCATTCCTCTACATCAATCTCGGATTCGGCACGGACGGACCTGATCACGGGCCACTAAATATGTCGTTCCCCATGATCGCTCCTTTCCAACTTCTCGGTCCCTCGAAAGGTCCATATCCCGGGACGGTTTGTCTGCCCCAGGTGCCCCTCCCCGCCAACATGAGTTTCAACGCCGGAGACAACGCGACTATACAAGTGGTCGAGATAGCGCAGCATGGAGCCGCTCTGTTTTCGGTAGGTTACCATGTCACCGACGGTCATGATGATTTGAAGACTAATCGTATTATACTAGTGTTCGGACATTACATTTGCTGAACCTGGAGACGAGAGGATCGCTAAAGTTAACGGGTCTAACTGTTATAATAGTACAGACCTCGGATTCGCTGAGATATACACTGTTACGACGCAAGAGATAGGTTCGGCGGCGAACGTGAGTACCAGCAGCGCCTCTGGTCTTTGGGACCACAGGCCTGCAACGTGGAGCTGGCTAGGCTACTTCCCGATATTTATGTGCGCTCTGGGGTTTTTACTGTAGGCCCTAAAGAGCGCGGAAATTTACGACGACGAAGGAAATGAACAAGGCAGGTGAGACATTGTTTTTTTTTTTTTTTGGCTTGTAACACCTTGTATCTGTATATACCGTGTGGCATCTAGGACTGGCGTATAAGGTGGGCGGTTGAGCGTTTTTCGGGGGTACTGGCGAGCAACTTTTCATTCCGACCAGGCCCTTTAATTTTAGGGAGACATGATTAAATTTTCTATCCCGCTATACCATTCATCATCCCAAGATGAAGATTTTATAGATCTTATACTGTCTCGAGGATCAATGGATACCCTTTTAAGTAAACTGTATCCTTGCAAAGACCCCGGTCTTATTCCGTAGGTGTATTTAGTTCCGCAGATGAAATTAAGACATGAAAAGGGGAAGACCATGTATGATTAATGCGTGCTATATACCTTAACCATTGTGGCGCCGCCCATCATAGGTACAATTCAAACCTGGCGGTTAGCAACGTGTTTTAGCTAACACTACATAGTAACGAGACATGTCAGAGCAGTCGGCTGGTCCTAAACTGCAATTCATTGACCCTGGGGTGAGTCATTCGATACTAGTGTTTCTCAAAGGGTTGTACTAGATTTGAGTCCTACCTAGAAATAATAAAGGGGGTTAGGCGTAGTGGATGTTAATACACCAACCTCTGTATTCTCGTGAGGGTCTTTCAAAGTACACCCTCGAGGTTTTTAGAATAGGCTTATAATTACACTGTATATACTTGGTAAGAACACATGAAATTGAACGAACCATCATAATCTCGTGACTTAGGCGAAGTTTCGAGGCTGTCTACATATATTACTGCGGCCAATTCTTAAACCTTCACATGGTATTGAGTCTGTCTATTCGAGTAATTCGGATAGCGCCGAATGTAATAAAACCATACCAATTCTTCAAAGGATCATTAACTTCGAGATGCTCAACACCGGCTCCTAATGATGTAAAAGATTGGCATCAACGTCAACGACTAGCTCGGAAGAGATTAAAATGCTTGACGGGGATGGTTACTCGGAAAGCGGACGTTCTGATTGAGTTGATACTATTACCTTTGATTATGGCTATCTTAGTAGTGACAGGCATTCGTCGGCTAGATCCTTCACACGCTGTTCGGAGATACGTTCTTTACTCGACGCTATGGGCGACGACAAACTCTTCGCCTCGGGAGCCGTCTTACCGATCACGGTAATAAGTGTACCTGCGGCCACCAGCGCTCGGAATATAACTTCTCCTTCCGTCTGCGTTTGTAGGATCCGAGCGAGCGCAGTTAGCAGACGGACCTGAACGTTGGCCGAAATGCTTCCCGGCTCTCTCGATGCTAGGACGGCGAGATTCACAACGGTCGTCGTCAAGGCGATCAATAGGTTACGGTTGTACGGGCCTATCGCAGGCTGGCCACCGATACCTAATACCCGGTCGACGAATGATGCAATTTGTAGGCTTTCCGAGTGCTGCGCGAGCAATCTTCGACCTTCGGTAGATCTGAAAAGATTGGCAATCGTTCGTGCCGCCATCATGGCACAGTTTTCGTTAGGTTGCGCGCCCGGCGGGATGCCCTCGAGCGCGGCGGAGATGGCTATCTGCACCGGACTGCCGAGGTTGGCCGACCTGAACTTGGCTACGGCGGGCGACGTTGCGGTGCATCTGAAAAGGTCGAGAGGGGCTAGCCTATCCGAATAGTCCCATTGCGTGCACATCATGACGACTAAGCTAATAGAGGCATTATCCACTACAGGTTGGTTCGCTTCTAGTCTCTGTCTTAACCCAAGTAACACTTCCTGCGCTGGTGGATTTAGAGAATGGTCTTTGCGCCCTGCGGCTTCGAGAGAAGAGTTGATACTGAGAATCTTCTTAAATATAGCTAAATGATTAGAGAATTAGAGCCGAACCACCTAGCCAATATTGTAGGATTTACTGGGTTACTTACGTTCGTATTTTGCAGCCGTGATATCGAGATACTCGCGCTGCGGTAGAGACCGGGCCTTAGAAGAGCTAGGGTCACCACCCGGCCGATACCGCGACTCCGTCCCGTACGGATCGGCCCCCCCGGAATCCCCAGAGCCTTGTCCGATCGTAGCCCCTTGCGTATTTGTGATGATAAACTGGGCGACCTGATCTAAGAAGTTTTGCGAAAGCTCATTGTCGTCAATAAACTTCTGGGCTCGGGTGTAGGGATTCTCGGATAGATTGTACGGCAGTTTTAAGGAAGGCTGACCCTCTTCGATGGCGACGTCAAAGACGTAGTCATAAGACTGGCCGTTATACTCAACCTTGCGCCCACTGCTACCGACTGCATCGACCACGGTACCAACGTTGACCCACTGCTGCTGGCTCATCGACCATTGGTGAGCCGTCACGGAACCGTTTTCCTCTCTTATCATCTGCACCTGTCCCTCCTTGGTGCCCGATTTGTTCTTTAGAAATTCGGGCCCCGGAAGCTTCTCCTTGTTTATCCCACCGACTTGCTGTTGTGGTATCGACGAACTCTTGACGGATTCGTCAAAGTGCGCTAGAGTTTCGGGGCTCGCTAGGCGCTTCGGATCACGAGAAAACACACGGATGACACCGTCGCTGGCACCCGTCGCGATGTCTCCATCCACCGAACACGCGGACACAGTCCAGACCGAGATAGCAGGATGGGTAATGGTCTGGACACACTCGGTACCCCTCCATATGCGGACCGTTCGATCTTCTCCTGAGCTGACTAGCTCGCCAGAGGGCAGCGTGTCGAGGGCGTATATGAAGCTTTCATGGCCGTGGAGTTCTCCAACCATCTGGCCACTCAGCTTCCATAGACGGATGACCCCATCGTTGCTGGCACTGGCAAAATCGGCGCCGCTCGGATGGCCGCTGGGAACTCGACATAGAGCTCGGATGACGTCAGAGGTGTAGATAGTGGATCGAGGCTCGACCTGGCCGGCTACAACAGTCCTGAGGTCGTAGACGCGAATGTTCTTGTCGGCAGAAGCCGTCACGACGGTAGTCTCGTCTAGGGGAAGGACGTCCCACACAGCCTCCTCGTGTCCAGCCAGGATAGCTTCCGTCTCCCACTTATTCACACTCCATATTCTCGCAGTCTTATCCCAACTTCCCGACACGATATACCGACCACCGGGAACGACGGCCAAGGCACAAACGTTCCGAGCATGACCGATAAGCAGACGTTCAGCGTTATCCGAGGCCGTCGAGGTGGCCCTTCTGACATCAATGATAGTGTCGGTGCCGGCAGACACGACTAAACCGTCGGGATGGTCGGACGAGGGGGGTAAATAGGTTAGGCTATTATAGAACTCGGAACCCTGGGTGGCTATGGAGGGTTCGAACACGGGAGGCAACGTACCGGTACGTTTCCACGCACGAACGGTACAGTCCCTAGCGGCGGAGAAAATAAGTTGGGGGGAGGGGAAGCAGACATGTCGAACCTGGAGAATAGTATCCGTTGATTAGAACCTTTTTTCTCGTATAAAAAAGAAAATAAATTGAAGGGAGCACATACATCAGCATCATGACCGACAAGCTCCGCGGACAGCTTGAAGTCGGCCATAGCGTGACCGGACTGTTACCGTCGATAGTTCGGGTTCGGTTACGTATGCTGATATTCAGGATATTGTTAAGGGAGGCTAATTTGGGAGGTTGCTAGCGTGTGAGACTGACGAAGTTGGGGAGAAATATTGAAGTCGGAAAGATCTAATGCGATAAGGCAATTTCTATAAGCTACACCTTGTCGCAAGTTACATCAGTGCAGTTACAAGCTGAAGCTTCTGGACTTGAGTATGTACATGAGGCAAGTGGGGTAAATTGATATCTCTGCCCCACCTTAGGTAACCCGTAGGTACATGCTTATGATTCATGTACCTATGTACCTCTATCGAACCTCCGGGGCTGTCAGGGCTGTCAGGGCCCTGACGCATCAAATGAGGCTCGTCAATTGAATTTCTCTACCTATCCCAAATCTTCAACAGCCTTGACAACTGATCTTTTTTTTTCCCTTCTCTCTCAAACCTTTGTGCTCAACGCTTCTTTCTCCCCCTGTCGCTCATTATCGATTGGGATTTTACACTTTGATCGTCTTGTTCTTTGGACTCTCATTTTCCTCCTCTTCTGTTTACTTTGGAGACAGTTAGAGGGCTTAAAGGCATCCAAAACCCGACTTGCGCCGATCTAAATACCACATGCTCCTGTCTTTTTATTAATGAATGCGATTCTGCTTCCGTCACCCTTTTGCGATATCAATTTTACGACCCGTCACGACTAGTCACGAGCATCTTCTCTATCCTTTATTATTCTCCGTCTATTTCGTAACAATTACAACCCATTTCCAACGGGGATTTTCACATCTTTTACGCTGTTCCCGTCCTTACTTCCTGAACGCCGCTCCGATTCTTGTTCGAATCGCACGCCAAACGCGAGTTGGGATCTCTGCTACAGTATAACCTGCCTTGACATTCTCATCAAATCTACCCGGGGATTAAATCTCTGGCTTGGCATCTCAACTCTTAAGATCCTTTTCAACGAATCTGTCTTGTATCGTCCTGTTGTAGCAATGGCTACCCCGGAGGCGCCTCGACAATATGTCCCTCTGACATGTCATGGACATTCTCGTCCTGTCCCACACATCAGCTTCTCTCCTCTCGAGAAGGATGATGTCTACTATTTGATCTCGGCTTGTAAAGGTGCGTGATCGGACCACTCGCTCCGCAAGACTTGTGCTAATCAACCCTAACGCATTACAGACGGTAACCCTATGCTTCGCGACGGCCAAACTGGTGACTGGATTGGTACTTTCATAGGCCATAAAGGTGCAGTCTGGCAAGCGAGGCTCAGTCCCGATGCCGCAACTGCCGCTACCGCTTCTGCAGACTTCACCGCGTAAGTTTCGCCGTTCCAATTTAGACGTGATGCGACGCCCGCAAATCTCCTTCGCTTTTGCTAATCTCATCGGATAGAAAAATCTGGGATACACATACCGGCGAACTCCTCCATACTCTTCAACATGACCACATCGTACGAGCTGTTGCCTACCCACCTGACAATTCCGACCTCGTTGCCACCGGCGGGATGGAGAAGAAGCTTCGCATTTTCGACTTGACAGAAATGAAGCCCAAGTCTACATCCGAAGCCGCTACAAACGGAAACAATCCCGAGCCTGCCATCGTACCGTCCACGATTCAAGCCTCTTCGGCTTTCGAAATAGGAGCCGGCGTTCACACTGCCTCTATCAAATTCATAGTTTGGACTAGAGACCCGAACATCTTGATAACCGCTTCTGACAACACACTCCGTTGGTTTGACTTGCCCACCAGGAGCGTGGTGAAGCAGGAAGTCTTGGACGGAGAAATCGGTTCTTGCGAGTTTTGTGCCCTAGCTCCAGAATTCACGTCCAAGACAGACATCGGCGAGGGGTTACCAGTCCTCGCGGTGGCTGCTGGGAAATCCATCTATTTCTGGGGCGGCTTTCGCGCCATGGACGAACTGAAGCGCACCAAGATGAATTACAAAGTAGCCAGCGTCGCTCTGGACCCTAAGGGAAGGAAGATCGTCGTCGGCGAAGATATTCCGGCGACGTGGGCCAGAGTCTACAGGTGGGATGACGACACAGAGATAGGTTCGTTTTAATTTTGGGCGTAATTCTCCACCTGGTACTAACGGCTTCGGACAGACATCCACAAAGGCCATCACGGACCTGTGTGGTCGGTGGCTTTCTCTCCGGACGGCAAGCTCTACGCCACCGGCTCGGAAGACGGAACAATCAAGATGTGGAAGAACTGCGAAGGGTTTTATGGGCTCTGGCGTGGAGGTGCAGGTGGGGGAACAGAGAGAAACGTCGAGTAGGGTGGCGCGCTTCGCGGAAGACCTTCAACCGCCTCAAGCCGAGATAGCCCAGATGTTTCGACAAATTCTACCAAGGAGTCCCTATAGGAAGCTATGCCTACTCCTATCCCGACTAAAATGAGCACCCGAACAGCTTAAACACAGCGTCTTCCGAATATCGCCTCCTCAGGAGCATAATTCGAGAGGAGCATATTAGACCATTTTGGGTCAGAAGTAGGCAAATAACTGAAATGATGTTTACTGGTCATCTTATAGCCGTTAGGTAGACGTACGATAATACCATTGGGACAAGGTATTGCCGTACTATCTTGCTTGGCACGGGGAAGCAGATGTGGCAGTAAGCCCAGAGTAGACTACAAAGATATGGTCATAATGCAATATTGCCTTCGTTGTTAGTTTTCGCAGCCGGCGAAGTACATTGTGACCAGTCTCGGTCGAGCATTGGCGCGGTAGATGCTACCAGGCATGAAGGCGGGAAGGGACTCGGAACAGCAGGACTTTTTCTCGTCGCAAACACAACACCAACTAGAATTGGTCCACCGACAGCAATGCTCGAAGGGTCCGTACCTCTTGAGTAGCTACCCTGCTCAGTGCCTACCCGAGGATACTGTAAGTCGTAAAATCCGATTTTCACTTATGATACGTGATATCACCGCTACCGGATTATTTTGACGCGAGGCCGGATACCCCTTAAATATCCTAGTAAGATCTTTTGCTTAACTAAGGTGAATCTAATATTGTTTTATTCCACCACCTCCCGTGTCTTCTCACAGCCTGGAAGTCCTAACGGTCCTTACGTTACTAGAACTATGAATCAATGACTACCTATTCTTAGAGTACCCATCTAACTACAGCAAGTTGGACATACTTTCCATACCCACAGCATAGAGGCATGTATAAGTGTCCATCGTCGCCCATGTATCCACCAAGGAGATCTAAAAAGCACGACAAGTGCTTATCCCAAACTGTTGCGCATCGCGAGTACCATTCGAAGTCGTTACTTTCCTATTACGCTCGTCTTTTTCCTATAGTCATACCTATTAAAGAATATCGAGGAAGAAGTTCTGGAGCGGCGCCGCTGAAAAGGGCCCGATACCGAATCTAAGATCTCGCGGTTTACGGAAATAGCTAACGGGCAATACTCTTCTCGCATTAATCTATCTCTCGAACCATACCTACACTTGATTTGGGTGATACCAATATCAATCATCAATTTGATGGCTTCGAGATTAGTATTATAATATCAAACTAATACATCTTATAGTATATACTAGGCCCTGTACGTGTTAAGCCGCCGAACGGAGCGGATGGCAAGGCAGTATTCATGTTCTGGCATGTTCCTCACGGTAGGCGCCGCGCTTACTACGAACCTAGAAGATTTGAGTGTTTGAGCGTAGGGCGTGGGACGAGGTAATTGGCTTACGCTGGCTACCTTCTAGAGAAGGTCGTTGTTGGACGCGACAAAGCGAAACTGTATGCAGGGGGGGTTCCAGGTGCCCGAAGCGGGGTGGCATCACGTTTTGATGGCGTTTTAAAGCAGCATTTGTATGGCAACCTAGGCCCTTGGCAAGCATCTTTAACAAGCAACGACCCAATAGCGAGAATGTGCCTGATTGATCCTGGACCTCTTGAATCAAAGAGTTGGCGGCCGGGGTAGGGACCGGAGGCGGTTGTGACCGAGCAGGATATTCAGCCGCATAATATTAAGGCGAGCTGCAAGCTGACAGCTCAAGAGGCGGAGGGATAATCTGGGAAACTCGAGATGCCCCGGATTAAATCAAAAGCTTCATCACCGGTTTACGACTCACTTATTTGCGCAGTGCCGCTGGCGGACGCGAGGAGTTAGCCTTCGGCACAAGGGGTGCATTTCGTTCCCGTCTTCTCTCGTGTCTTGCTGATGGCCCAGGCCAAGGCAAGTCCCGCGCTGCGGGCAGCATTCGGGAATCGCCTCTCCGAGCTTACTACCATATTCAGTCCGCCATGCCCGGTGACATGGCTGATAACCACGACGAAAGTCCCATCACAATATCCACCGTTTCCTACGACCGGACCCGCCTCCTGCGACCCCCCGTCCTGGGAGGATAATATTGCGCAGAAAGGTTTCGGGTACTACTCGCCGGCTATCTGCCCAAGCGGATTTGTTGTAGGTTGCACTGCAAGCAACGATCGAATAGGAGAAGGCTTTCCCGCTATCATAGCTGGGGAGACGGCCATGTACTGCGTCCCAAGGCAAGTCCGAATGACGCCGGTGATCCGAAAGAGCTCGACTAACTTAGATATGTAATTTGTAGAGGCTTTACCTGCACCTCAGATACTACAGACTTTCGCGGGGGCGTTTGGGGCTTTATGCGTACAACATCAGCGAATGGTTTCCCGGCTACCGTGGGACCGGCACTCCAGATCCGCTGGCGAGAAGAAGACCTAATCCACCTCGCTACGGATCCTTTAACTCGTGGTCCGATTACAACCTCAACTAGCAATTTTACGCCGACACCTGGTACCTTCCCTCTGCCCGAAGCCACTATATCTACTTCTAGGACGCTGCCAGCCCCAGTATCATCGACGGTCCTGCAAATAACGTCACTTACACCAACAAGAGCGATCGAAATCAGCAAATCGTCAACAACTTCTGAACCTACTTTAACAACCACCGTGAAGGAAGAATCGGCAAGTTCATCATCATCTCCACCCACAAGCAAGCCAATTTCAACATCTATCCAGCCTGGCGGCATGCCCGCCGCAGATAACGGAGGCACTACGGATCGGAGCGGGGCCGATGGAAATGCCTCTAGTAGCGCTGCCTCAGGCGCTGATATGGCAGCTATGGCATTATCTGGAACTTTAATCGGTATTATACTAGGGTACTTCGCAACAATAATATTTCGTCGGTACCGCCGGTATCGAGCGGGTGAGATAGAAAGGTTCCTCCCTTTTGACGTCAGTGCTTTAGCAAGTCGACTTTTTGCAAAGCGGAAGAACGGATTGCTCTCGCATCAGACTACGGTTATACGACCGCCTAGATATCCAGGTGCCGAGCTGGGTACAGATGGACCAATACCGGAGCTGGGCGCTGGAAGCCCTCTGGGTACGAAAGAGAACCCAGCAGAATTAGGCGTCGACAATGCGAGAAATAGCTGGGTGTCACGGGTATCGCGAATATTTACCGTAAAACTAAGAAAGGAAGTGTGGTCAGTTTAATAGGTTACCTCATTTTCGTAAGAAGTAATGTTGTCTAGACTGTTACCTAGTCTGGCTCTATCTGCTCATCATTTAACCCCTAAACGAATAGCGTATGGTGATCCGAAGCTCACGGGCATTGGTGGAATAGATAACCTAGGTAGATCCATACTTCAGTGATAATCGGGGATTAATACAATAATGACTGATACAGTAAGGACTGATACATGGCGTTTACGCTATCTAGGGCTAGTAGACAGCGTCAGTTGTCTTACAGATGTCCCCAAATGGCAGTTTCTTCATTACTTCTTGCAGTCAATCAAAGAACACTGAGAAACTTCGCTGTTAGCCACGCCAGGTGTACTCTCTCCCAAGCCAATCTCCGACAACCTATAGCGATCGCTTAGGATATGGAACGCTACATAACCCAAGATGTGGTCGTTTAAAGCCTGCTCATACGGCTCCCGCCCCTTAACCACAACCCGCATGCGCTGGACGGCATTTTGTGTCTGCTCAATTATCTCTCTCAGTACTGTTCGGGTATCATTGCCTTCATAATGAGCTCTGTAGTTGACGTAGTTCTCTTTTTCTTTTGCTTTCTCTTCCTTATAGAATCTGGCACACCGCTATTAGTGGGATACTCGTTGGAAAGAGTTTCTGTACTCACGACAACACATCATTGGCGAGGCATAAATAAGCAGACAAGTCTGGGATCGCTTCCAGGAAACATGAAATGTCAGGGTAGATGGTCTTAGGGAATGTAAAGTACGCATAAGCGTCCGCAACACCAGTCTTGCTACGAATGTACCAGGCCAAACTCTGGCCTCCCTTAGTTCGTACTAGGCGTCGGAGTTCGGAACGCGCCTCTAAGACGCACGCGTTGTGAAAGTCAAGGGATGCGGCGACGATAAAGTTGGCAGCCATAGAGTCCCAGTGATCAAAAGCTGACCGAATTAACCCTGCCCAAGCCTCCAGAAGAATCGTTGGCTGGGGGTTTCCGCTAGCGAAGCGCTCATGGAAGTGTTCGAAATCTTCCAAAGACTGACATGCTACATCGTCGATGACAATGGCAATCCAGGTATATATACCGACATATACTTGGACTTGAAGAGGATGGTTAGGAAAGCAAGCCTGTTGTACGCTGTTAGCTGAGCTGTAGTAGAATAAGAACATGGTGGTAATACAATAGCATAATTCCCCCCTACTTTTAAACACTTGAAGGAGTGGGACCCCTCAAGATGGGGAAAACCAGTGTTAACTGCATGTCGATGTAGAGCTGACCAATATATCCCATCGTTGATCACCGGTGCCGTCGTGTACCCTATGTTTGAGATGAAGGACGAGATTAATGGACCAAGGTACGGCTCGGCTGCTAGTGTATCCGCAGTATGTTGTCCTTGTGTACTCTGTGACATGGCTGAGTTCTAGAGTTAGACTTTAGGAATTAGGTATAAGAATCAACTGATGCTGGCGGAGTACTGGTAACTCGTTGCCTTTCGTAATGATGATTATAAGCAAATAACTTGAAGATTTACAGTATTGTAAGGTCAAGGCGATAGATTTCGTATATATGCGTAAAGGTGCGTGTATACCTGGGACATATAAATATGTTTAAATGTAAGACACTGTTGACACGTTTGAGACCGAAGTATCCTTATAAATAGAAGGTCTTCTTAGATATCTCGGCTATTTAATGGTAGGACTAAATACTTGGATAGTATGATTACCTAATGAGATCGTGACTAGATAATGCAAGATGAACTCATCCTAAAAGTGGTGATTGGTAACACTAAGAGCTCGTTTCAAGATAATGAGGCATCTCATATTGAACTTTGCAAGCTGATTGACTACACTGGGAGGGAGTCGAATGCAGACTTCCGAGGTATTATCTGAGCTGAATGAAGCCGTTCCCGCTTGTATGACGCTATTTGCCATGTCACGCATGAGTTTCCTTGTTTAGTAAATCTCCCCAGCGTCGAATGCTCACATCGATGCATGATATTATGACATCGGATGTCACTAGAAGACTTGTGAAGGCAAACATGTAAGCCGGAGGGAAAGTAAACATACTTGCAAGCCGATTGCTCCAGCGTTATAAATCGGTAAGGCTTTTGCAAGAAATAGGAATATTTCCGGCATAGAAGGCTGGTGTTATAACGAATGCTTTCGAACATATTAAGTCGGGATTTGAAAAAGAAAATATAGCTTTAGCATAAGCTGACATAAGGTTTAAGTATACGACGACATACTTTATACCGTATATATTATGCCCTTAAGTGCGAGGTAGACATGGTGTGTCAACCCCCCAAAATCCGAGTAAATTGATTGATCTAAAACAGTTACCATGAATTCTAATTGAATATACCCTAGTATAAGGTAACCACCGTGTCTCCCTCGTACTTAAGGACATAACGTGTCTCGTATTATCTTTCCGAAGGAATATGTCACACAACTGATACCTGCTATTTGGACGTTACGCGAGGCAATTATTGATGAAATTACTGAGGACTTGATTGACTGTTGCGAGATCGTGAAAACGAGGTACTAATTCTTCCGAAGGAATACAAGAGGCAACCCCGCTAGATTGCACAATAGCCTCATGTTTACGGACAAGCCAGGCGATATCCTGCTTGCAAGGCGGTAAGCCACATCTTAAGATCAAGTCCACGGTTTAAATCCTCGACCTCACATCCCTTCCTTTCTTTTACGCATTATTACGTAAGTAAAAACGCGGCGCTTTATTATTTCAGTAAACATCAAACCACATTTCGTGGAGGCGGGCTACGTTTGCTCGCCCATTAACCTGTTAACGTACCGGCGTTACGAATACAAGAGGCAACCCCGTTGGATTGCACAATAGCCCTGAGTTTACGACCAAGCCAAACGATTGGTTGAATCCCGCAAGGCCGCCCAGCCTCGCCGCGCCGGGGGTCACGGGCGCTCGGCACATGCTTCGCACGCGCCTCGCACCCGTAACCCTGGCAGGCCAGGAGGGGCTGGGCGGCATTGAAGCGGCTTCGTTCCGCGGTGAGTTTACGTGGCAGGTTCCCCGCGGCCCGTGAGGGCTTGTGGCGGCCGGGGCCACGTTGTCTGGGCTGGCTGTGCGCGAGGACCGGCATGGTTGCCATGTGCGGCGGATCGGTTGCGAATAACACGGCGCTTCGAAACGCGCATGTAAAGGCCGGGGCTGTGACGCTTGCCGTTACCCCCCGGCGGCCTTAAAATTAATTAAACCCCGAAATAAATTAACTTAATAGTTAGGTTTTTTTTTAAAAAAAACCGTAAAATCCCGACTTTTAAATAAATTTAAAATAAAGTTTATATTATTATTTTACGTTATTTTCGTTTTTATCCTTGTTTTTTTTAAAATTTAACCGTTTATTTATCTTTTTTTTTAAAGTCACGTGTCGTTATTATCGAACCGCGCGAAAAAAAACGTTTAATTTATTAACGTAAATTTTATATTTTTTTTTACGCAACCTTAATTAATAGGTAAAAACAATTAATAACTCAATTAATTATAAATGTATAAACGGGTATAAGCTTATTTTTTAAGATTTAAAAAGGAGTTAATTATTAACGCGTTTAAAATTAATTAAGTTATAAATTTTTTTTAAATTTTAAAAAATTTATATTATATTAATTATTATTTTTATATAAATTTAATTATATAAATTATTTATTTTTATTTTATTATAA